TGGTATATGGGGGTTCCATTGAAGCTTCGCGTCTAGCGTTATTCCAAGAAAAATGGTGGTATCGACAAGACTCAGTTCTTCCCCATTTAAAATTACACTAATATTTAATTGGTTGAATGGCAAAGAATGCCGATAGGCATTTAGTCCACTCTTTGTTACTCTATTTATTAAGGTGTTAATAATAAAGATTAAATAAATAATAAATAAATAAAATACGTGGTTGAGCCATGCTGCAGCTATATTAGTAGTATAGTTGTAGTTCGAATGGTTCGACTCGACCAGGGAAAGACCACGCTCACACAGAATACCAGCGTAAAATAGCAGCTTAACACTGCTGTGTTTCGTATTGAGAGTGTGGAAAACCGTAAACCCTTTTTACTGGAAAAGAGTCATTCCATCTTAGTCCTCACGGGTGACAACGCATCTGCATTTTGATTCGCAAACGAAGATAAATGTAGACACAGCAACCACTTACCATCAGGTGGACTGTGTGCTCGTTTTATATATTCTATAAAAAAAAGCCATATTTGCCGCGCTTAGCAAGTGGGTTGGCATTCGCAGTTTTTTTATTATTTTGAGCTGTTATCAGGAAGATCATGTGAGATAGATTTACTGTTGCAGTTTCCCTCTATCTCTATCACTTCTTACGACACCCACAGGATGATATGAGGTAGTGAATTCTCTTACACCGCCTATACACGGTGAACGTATTAAGATGGTTTTTTATATGCAACTCATTTCTTTAAAATTCAAATAAGCTTATGTTTAAGAAAAATTAATTAATTACTTACTCTTGAACCTTAGAAACGAATGGAGGAGAAAATTATAATTATTTGCCGTGTTTTAAAACCAAAAGAAATGATGTTTAGGTTTAACGTTAGAGTTTTTAAAACTCCCTTTTAAAAGGCCGGTAACGCAACTCAATTTCCCTGGTATATAACACATAATTGATTCCGTTCATTTAAGGAAATAAAATGCATAAGATGTAGTGTTGATACCCGAGCTCAACATTTAAGATACAGATTTCGAAACAAGTAGATAATTGATTCGTCTGATGAATGAATGTTCATTTATTTATTTATTCTTTATTGCATTCAATATAACAAAATAATAGAAAGGGCATACTTAATGTCTTGAGGCATTCTGTACCAGTCAACCCAAGGAGTGGTGAGAATTTGACGTAGGTGTAGCAATATCGAATATAAAACAAAATAAAAATGATAATTAAGTACATAATATAGATATATAACTAATAAATAAACTATACAAATATAACCTACAAATACATGCATACGTAAACAGACATATATACACATATACAAACATATATACAGATACATATTTATATACATATATAATTAGTTCATACAAATAACTGTGAATGAATACGTCTGCTTAGCAATAAAAATATGACATGGATGATTCATATAAGAAACGTTATCTTTAATAAATTATTACGTACCAACTTTTTAAAAGCATACTTAGTTATTAATATTTTTTTTTATTACAACCGGTATTTATTATTAAGAAATGACGGACTCCTCTGCAGTAAATAAGTTATATTTCATCTACAAATGATTTTAATTTAATTTGAATTTGGAATGGACATATTATGCATGAACTTTATAATGGTTTTTATATGTTAAACTATGCATCATAATGTGTCGTGATTTATAATATTTTAGATCTCATAACTTTATTAGTTCATATCCGCTATATTTATTTTTAACTCACATCATAAAATAGTTGCTAAATATTTCTTTATAGAATAAGGGTGACAATCGAGCACACAGTCCACCTGGTGATAAGTTGATGCTGACATCTACATTCCTATCCTCGATTAAGAATCAAAATGTAGATGCGTTATCATAATATGGCTATGACTCTATCACGTATAGATCTACACATTTTTGTAATCAATCAATAATAAAAAAAAAATCACGGTTTGTTTTAAACATTTCGAACATGTTATAACCCAATGAAAGGTTTAAGTACTTATACAATTAATAAAATATAAAAAGTGTTTTATTTATCTAAATTCGTATAGACTTTAACGATTTTTTTTGTATAGAGTATATACGTTAAATCAAACAACTGCTACGATGAAAAGTGACCTTAAAACAATGTCAATGCCCATCGGTCTTTTTGCTGTTTATTCGGGTTAGGTTGTCGATTATTTCTGTTACGAGACTTAACCATGAACCACATTATTTTTTGTTTTATTACCAAAGTTTGCTAAGCAATTTTTTATATGTTTCTTGATGACATTTTATAGAGAACATATTTATAAAACATAATTATTGTGTCTTTGACATTACACATAAATATATGCTACTTTGGGTATATTAGAGTCCAAGTGTAATTTATTATTAAGTTTTAAATCAGACAGCATTTTAATGGTGGTTTCGTCTCTTTTGTGTTTCGGCACAGAATATGGTTTTGGCTTGAGTTTTTGCGTTCTAAATTATTCGCAGGAAGCGCTTAGCATATGAGCGCCTGAGCTACCAAGGCTTTTTGGTGGCTCTTATGGTTAACTATATTAAATTTAATACCCTTAATGCTATACAAACGTGTAATAAAGATTTTAACAAATGTATGTATCTAGTATAAACATACTTATAAGAGTGCATACGTTAACATAGCGAAAGTATCAACATACGTGAATGGAATAATACTGCAATTAAACCGCTCGAATTATATTTTATCACGCACATGATCGTAAATACCTTAAAACATTAGATAAAAACACATAATATGAAAACGTTCATTTTACGAATTTTAATCACGATTTCTAGCTACTATTTACAGTTTCTTCATTGAAGGATATTCAGAGTAATCGGTCTAATAATCTTAAACTACGAAATTCGTATAGTTATCAGTTTTAGTAAAAAGATAATTGCATTTAAATGCCACCGTGTAGACATTATACTTGATAAGTTAAAATAAATGTGTACAAAAATTGTTTTTTTGCTAATAATTAATAATAAGAATAATAAAGCTTATTATTTTTATTATTATTTATCTTTTTATTTATTCATTAACTAATGTTAAATTATATTATCACATAAGTCAACTGTGTAGCGGCGGTGTAACAATATATCGTCCCATGGTTGTAGTAAGAGGCGACGGAGGAAAACTGAAATAATGGGCAGCAGCATAATCCTTATAGAAAGTCAAAGTGATATTAAAGTGGGGTTGCTAAACTACTTGCTAAGCGTGGCAATTATGGCAAAAGAGTCCTATAAGACGATCTATAGGGGAGACCTATGTTCAGCACTAGGCTTTTATAGATTGTATGTATGTATATATGGGTAGATGGATGGAGTCAACAGCCATGTTAATAATTGTCGTTTATGTCAATCGAGTACAAGTATCGGGCAGCAGCTACCTTTACCTTTAGGCTGTGGGAGCGAATCCCGTACATAACACGTATTTGTGAAATAACGAAACAACCAATATCACTGTTCCGGGTGTAGATGTTTGTTCATATGCAATTAATGTATGTAATCCACGATACATAAAATCTTACTAGTATGCCGTTTACAAGAAACAATAAATAAATAATATAGTCTCCACGGACTATCAAGTAAGAAAAGTGCTTGCGGGACAACCTTCCCGTCACGGTTCTCTGAACTATGTTATTCTAAGAACAATTGTCTTTATAAATTTTCCCTCGGTTTTACAGCCATGTGAAATATTTCAAAGACGATGGCTCTAATGTGAAACTTTGGCAGTCTCTCATCTTAGAGGTGCCTCGTTTAGAAACGGGGCGGCATCATAGGCAGCTGAACTAAATAAGTGGCGCAAATATGAGCCTCTAAAAGATGACTACATATTTGTGCCATTTGAAATAGAGACTATCGGTGCGCTGAAGTTCCTAAAGAAACTGTATGCGAGACTTGTCGTCGCTGCTCATGATAAGCAGGCTGGTTCTTTTCCCTCTTAAAAGCTAAGTACAGCCATTCAGCGTGAAAACGTTGCAAGCGTTCTTGGCACTATACCGCAGGGACTGGATTGTATGATAATTTAAGTTTTTTTAGTTTTAGTTTCTTCATTATTGAAATAAATATTGTATATTAAGATGTTTAGTAAATAAATGATTTTTAATATATGCTACTGTATCTTTATTTCCCTTTTGATGTGTGTTATTATCAAAGATCGATAATTATTTTATTAATTTTTCGAATTTAAACTAAATCTGATAGAAGATCAGATAAATTATAGCTTACACTCTCTTTGCTCTCTGCCTGCTCTTCAAGATTCACTGAAATTGCTTCAGCCATTTCGAAGATAATCCCGGAGAGACATATAAACAACCCAGTTCAATAAAGGGCAGTATTTTCGATATTGCAGACAGATACTTAAATTATATTTATATTTTTAGATTAAATATTTAAATATATCTTTCGAAAAAAAATTGTGGCAATAAATTTCAATGCAAATAGAAAAATGGATTTTTATAAATTTAAAAGATTAGTTTCTAGCAATTTGCTAATTCTATTTTATTTAATCACTTACAAACTGCAAATTACTAAACCAAACCATATAACACTGTGTAGGCTTGTCATATTAGCGATTCATTTTTATGAAATCATTGCAATTACGGCACACTACAACCGACAAATAATTTTATACGCCCATTATTATTCACCACTTATAGTGAAATCCGTTGCCTCGATTACCTACCCTTATTGCCAATATAAAAGCATATACATTTTGCTAATCCTTATCAGTTTTCTGCCGAACAAAGTAACTAACAGAAACATAAAATATTTAAAACATAAAAATGATTGCAAAGGTATAATATTAGATTTTTCGTTAATTTTAATTATAACCATATTGAATAAAGTTTTATTAAATGTTTTACCAAACGAGTGAAGATTAAAGTGCGTTGTAACCAATAAATTCGTTCGACGGAATTATACTAAATTAAAAAAAAAAGTGAATTGTACTTAATACACAAAAGGAACGCAAATTTAACGTGCTTTGTAATTTTCATATTGCAGGTGCTGTGTCTCATTGTGCTCGTGGCTTTCGTTGTCGCAGAACAACACGGTCATGCTTACTCAAGCCAACAAGTTTCACGTGAAGATGGGCCTGCAGAAAAAGTGAGCGTCATGGGCAACGAAGAAAATGAACATCACGTTGATTATTACGTACGCTTGATATCTTTTCATTGACATTTACATATGGCTTCATCGTTCGTCATGCGTACCGCAGTGAAAAGAATAGGTCGTTAGCATCTGTCTTTTCATCCATGACAATGTGGATGTCAATGCAAGAGTGAATATGTGTTTGTTAAGTCCGTGCTCAGTGCTCTTCGCCATATTCGACTGAATCATCACTTACCATCAGATGGGATAGTAGCCAAGCGATGGGTTACAATAGTAAAAAAAATACGCCTCTAGCACTGTAAACAATCTACTACTCCCATCGCAATCCAAGGGTCGCTTAAATTACCGAAAGATCTTAAAGCCATGATTTAAAAAACGAATAATATTCGTTTTATAAACATTTCCATGTGATAAGCTCGTATGTTCATAACATGAACATACGAGCTTGTCACATGGACATGTTGTGATGTACGGTAATCACCGTACAGTCCGCTGAGCTTGCTAATTACGGTAAATCCTCTCTGCAGTGAATTTTCCGGGTTTTATTAACGAACACATCTTATCATCTTACCGTTACCGTTATAGCCTAATAAAGTCCACTGCTGAACATAGCTTCCCTCACAGATTACCCATAAGAGGGATATTTGCCATAATTGCCATTCTTGGCCAGCAGGTTCGCAACTGCAGTTTTTATTTTTAGTCCTTATTGGGAAGATACTGCTGCCAATCTCTTGATTTGTTTCCACAGGATGATTTCGGGTAGTGGATATTCTTATATTGCCACTACACGGTACCATATTATGAACTTAAAAGTATGTCATCCTTTCTTGTATATACAAAAGGGTATTAAACTCGTTTTCTGAAATGTGTTTAACACTAATAAATTTTTTTTTAGGCCCATCCAAAATTTAATTTCGAGTACAAAGTAAACGACCACCACACTGGCGATATTAAGTCCCAAGAAGAGAGTCGTGATGGTGATGTTGTCAAGGGCAGATACTCATTGCAGGAGCCAGACGGTTCAATCAGGGTTGTAGAATATCACGGAGATGACCACAGCGGGTAATTATTAAATAACTGCTTGTTTACTGAGTCTGATTATTTTAATTATCAATAACTAATCTCTATATATAAAAATCAATTGCTGTCCGTTAGTCTCATTAAAACTCGCACTTGGCCGGTTTAATAACCGGCCAAGTGAGAGTCGGACTCGCGCAAGAAGGGTTCCGTGCCATCGTAATACACGTTTCTAGTAGGGCAGCCCCTTTTAATTTTTAATTTATTAAAATTTTTATTATTTGTTGTTATAGCGGCAACAGAAGTACACATTCTGTAAAAATTTCAACTGTCTACCTATAATGGATCATGAGATACAGCTCGCTGACAGACAGACGGACGGACAGCGGAGGCTTAGTAATAAGGTCTCGTTGGTTACACTTTGGGTACAGAACCCTAAAAACGATTTGGCCGATACTTATGAAAATTGGACCCGGTAGGTGGCTCGGTTGTCGAGATCCAGAAATCACCCGCGCAAAGCCGGGGCGGATCGCTAGTCTAATATATAAAAAATAATGTTTGTTTATTCGTATTTTATGCGCTGCCAACCCGTTCATCAATTTGAGGTAAAGTTTTGTCAAGTCATAGCTTGCGCTTCCGCGATGGTTATAGGCATGTACTATGCCTATAACCATGTTAACTTACAGTAGGTAGCGATAAATTTATCGGAAAGATATATCGTTCAATTTTAATGAATGTATAATACATTCATTAAAATTTCATCAATCATTCCAAATTAAACAATATAACACTCCCAATCTTAAAATGATATTTCCGCAATTATTTCCCGGGTACCAGCTGTTTTTATAAATTTATATAGTTACGTCCTTAAGGTCTTTCAGGATTTATATATTGATTTTAATTAAAAATATTTTGTTGAATTCAGTTTCCATGCCAACGTCAAACACCAAATTCACCATATTGTACCTGAACATAAGGAAGACAATGACCAAAGTGAACCTAAGGAACAAGAACAAGAAGGACAAGAAGGACAAGAAGGACAAGAAAGACAAGAAAGACAAGAAGGACAAGAAGGACAAGAAGGACAAGAAGGACAAGAAGAACAAGAAGGACAAGAAGGACAAGAAGGACAAGCATAACTGTGATATTACACTTTATAATTTAAGTTTATTTCTGATATTATTTTTTTTTTTACTTTTCAAGTGGTTTAATCCATAAACTAAATTTATGTTTTGTTTTTATGGATTAAACGAAGTCTCTGTTCTATGTTACACAATTCTCATTATTTATTTTATATTTATACTTAAAACAAATACATCATTTCAAATTTTACTTTTGCTGTTTTCATTCCATAGTTGACCTTTAAAATATCTCGCAATTATTAGTTCCACCGTGTTGATTTATTTTAGTTACGATATGATCATGTATTAGACACCTACATTGCTATGTGTCTAGTTATGATTAAGTATCAGGCAAATTTAGAAAAGAAAAGAGCAACGCGTCGGCTATGTGTACTCGTATATTTGCAGGAACCACTTAGAGCCACTATCGAACTCCCCAATATCAAAAATTATTAGACCCACAATTTTAATTCTTCACTGTTAATAAGAACCATTTAATAATTAACCTCTTATAGCTCTGAAGTTATTAACGTCTGATAAGTGTCATTTTTATCACTTATCAAAAAACCTAGGTCGCTTTTAGGTTGCGTGTAAACTTGAAATTTGGCATAATATATGTAAATCAATAAGCGTATACAAATAAAAAACCTACAAGTTGTCGTTATTCGGTGTCGATAGGTGTTGACAGTTGTGTTGACAAAGTTATTGGTGCGGTTAGTTTTAAGTGCAGTATTTGAAACTGACCGCACCAATAACATTATCGACATAAAATCCCTATAGGTAAATTAAAAGTAGAAAACAGTATAAACAAGTATTTTTAGTATATTACTATATAACCAAATCTATTTTTGATTAAGAATAAAAATGCAGATGCGTTATTCACCCATGAATACTAAGATAGACGTTTACCTTGTTGTCAGTAAAAAGGGTCTCGAGTTCGTTACACTAACAATTCATTCATTACTTCATTACATTCTGTGAAAGCGTGGTCCTACCCCAGTCAAGTCGACCTATTCGTGCCACAACTATACATAACTGTACGTAGCTCTACGTAAACTGAATACGGGGCTTTAATTTTTATAATATTATGTCTTAGCACCGACTTCAGTATGTGAAATTATTTAATCACTTTTAGTTCTTTCAAGGCAACTCTAACTTTTATATTAATAGCTTGTTTTTTTCAAATGTCGTCTGGGGTTAAATGGAAAACATTAGGTGCGGCGTGATAGTGACGCGTGTGTTATTAAGAGTGGCCTTCACCCAGGAATTTATTGAGTCCTAAAAACAAGAACATCCGTTTCTCATTTACTCTACACGTCACCCCGATGCACGCTCTTCACAAAGTTCCTACTCTATTATGAAATATATTACCTATTTCTTTCTAAGCGAACTTTATCTGCAATTGCAAATATCCCGATTGAGAGACAAAAATGTTGAAGATAAATTTCATAGACTAAAGAGGGAGAAGGAATTAATTACTAGCTCGAGGGTATCTGCGCTGACGAACCCTGAACATGATTAAATCGTATAATAAATGTTCAAAAGATGAATCTGAATCACTGGTGATCGAGCTATGGAAAAGGTTATGGAGAATAGCTCTGCGAGTGACTTTGACGCTTAAATGTCTTTCCGTGAAGGACTTCGTTTCGCTAATGTCAGTTATCACTATCGTCACTCAATAGTTGTCTACTTTTGACTTTCTGGGTTATGTTCGAACGAGTCATGGTATGGTTAAAAAAAACAACAATTCTAGCTTATCCCTAAAACATCTTTTAATCTTATTATAACTGTTATTCAATTCCGTCCTACATCATAGCACTACTCCCGAGGCGTAAAGTAAATGGTCTTGTTCTTTTACACAGACGGATTTCTCTTTTGAGCCGCGTCTACATGCTGTTTTTGAGAGTCAATTCGAATCGTCTCGCAAACATACTCGACGCCTTCCAGCCTTCCAAACAAGCTGGTTTCCGTAAAAGCCGTAGTACCGTAGACCACTTACAAATCCTTTGGAAAATTGTACATAGAACCGAAGAGTACAATCTATCACTTTGCCTTGCCTATGTGGACTATGAGAAATCCTTTGATACCATCGAAATTTAGACCATGCTTCACGTCAGCGGTGCCTGATTGATTGTCGGTATATGGAAATGCTGAAGTATTTTTACAGTAGAGCTACAGAGTACAAAACCAGAGTATGAAACCTATCCAATAGCAGAAAGGTGTAAGACAGGGTGACGTTATATCCCCGAATCTCTTCACCACTGTATTGGAAAATGTTTCCAAGCCACTGGAATGGAAAGTGTAATTCTTCTCGTCAGGTATACTTTAAAACTGGAAAACGAGATTGTACAATCAGTGCATGTTGTCAGTGATTACTTATGGATCTGAGACGAGGTCCTTCACTGCTGGGCACATGATGACAGCGAGCTATGGAGAGGGCCATGCTCGGGGTTTCTCCGCGTAAAAGACTTCAAAATTAGGATATTCGCAGTAAGACCAGAGTAACCGACTTAACCCAATGGATTAGTAAGCTGAAGTGGCAATGGACCGGCCATATACCTCGAAGAACCGACAACTAATGAGGAAAAAGGTTCTCGGATGGCAGTCTCGTACTGGTAAGCGAAATGTAGGGTGGCAAACCCGCTAGATGAAGTGACGACCTTGTAAGACATGCAGAAAGTCGATGAGTATAGGTGGCTCAGGACTACGCTTTGTGACATTCTTTGGGGAGGTGTATGTTAAGCAGTGGACCTATGAAGGGCTGTAATTTATACCTGTTAAACCTACTGTTAACATTGATTTCAACAATACATTTATCCACTAAGATTATTAGCATTATGTAATAGCCTGTATATTGTATGATAATATCTATTAATTAAAATATCTTGACTTGTTATAATTAGTTTAAAATGTGTTTCACAATAATAACTTTAGAAAGCGTTTATGACAGTAATCAAAGTAGGCTGACTGTTGGAGAATGTTCAATTAACTTCGGTCTTTGTATCATTTACTACAACGCAAGATGTCGATTGTCCGTAATTATTGTTTATGTTTAACTATCGCAACACTAACGAATATAGTAGCTATGTCAAGTAAACGATTTTACGAAATTAGTTGCAAAAACTTGACGCACATTGTAGTTGTTGAATAATTTTAACTGACACTAATATAGAGTGAAATCTATATTACCTTGGCTTGTTACTTTAGTTATCAATATAAAAGAGGTGTTTTATTGTCAACGTGTATCAGTTAAGTGTCGATTTTAGAAACATTAGCATATTCATTAATAAGAAAGCAAAATGATTTCTAAGGTATACAGTTTAGAATTTAGTTTTCAAGCGAAAAATTAAATGTAGTTTTGTAAAGCATATTAACAGTTTATTCCTTCAGTTATAGTGTGTAACCCTTTAGTAATTTAAAATTTAAAATTATGGGAAAATTGCAGATTCTGTGCATAACGATCCTTGTTGCTGTAGCGGCTGCCAGTTATGACCAAGGACATGGCCACGCTTACTCTTCGCAGCACATTTCTCGGCATGATGGACCCGCTCATCCAGTACATGTGCATGGTCATTACCACGGTCACGGTGGAGGACACGGACATGGTCACGATCACGGTCACGATCATATCGACTACTATGTTAGTGAACTCATATCCTTATAATTAAGTTTTCTTTATTTGTATATTATACGCGGTTGACCTATGCTGCAGATAATCATGGTTGTATCACGAATGGGTCGATTTGACCGGGGAAGGACGCTCTCATAGAATACCAGCGTAAAATAGCAGCATTAGCTGCTGTATTTCGTATGGTGAATGTAGATAACTGGGGACCCCTTTTTACTGAAAACGGGGCATTCTGGATTCTTAGTCCTCAGGAGTGACAACGCATCTGCATTTTGATTCATAATCGAAGATAGATGTTGTTATCTATGGGCCACAGCATCCACTTATCATAAGGTAGACCGTTCGTTTGTCACACTTGTTCTGTAATGATTGACTGAATATACGTAGTTTGAAGGTAAGAATTGAACAAGTACAATATTACGCTTGCCGAACATAAGGATATTATAACAAATATTACCAATACCGTAAAGTCTATATGCAGTTGTTTCTGTTTTCGTTATTAAATATTATTTTACATCTGATAGTATTTATTCTGATTATATACTACGTTCTATCGCTGAATATAAGATCTTCCTGACATATCATATTGTCGCCTTTTATGATACTCAAAGGGACGATACGGGATGAATGATTATCTTACACCATCACCACACATCATTTTTATCTCATCATTCATGACAGCCTATCGAAAGTTCACTGCTAAACACACACCATTGCTAAATAGGGGGAATAATTACAATTAAGTTGTTATCAGAATATATATGCTTTTGACCATCTCTTGCTTCATTTCCCACTGTTGCGTCTTACGACCACCACGGGATGATATCGGGTAGAAAATTGTCTTACTACCCCACTATACGGTGACTGTGGATTATGAATATTTGTTTTGCTGAATTTAGCTAGTCAATTAAAATTAATTAATAATTACTATAAGAAATTGAATAGTTATAACGTGTGATTAGTAGTATAATCTAAAATATTTGTTTTTTCAGGCTCATCCTAAGTATGAGTTTGACTATAGAGTAGAAGACCACCACACTGGTGATAAGAAGTCCCAGCATGAGTTCCGCGATGGAGACGTTGTTAAGGGCGTTTACAGCTTGCACGAGCCAGATGGTTCTATAAGAGTTGTAGAGTACCACGCTGATAAGCATAACGGGTAAGACAGACAAACATTTCTTAATTTAGACGTTTACGTTTACGTTTGATAAAGACGACTAAAATATTTCTTACATCTTTATAATTTAGTATCTCGAAGAAATAAGGTATTTTGTATCGCATTCTTATATCTATACTTAAAACTCTACATAGAATAAATTTTTATTCTTATATTTCTCCCGGGTTTGACTACTACCATAAGGCATTAAGTCCGCTTATTGTTACCATTAGTTCAAGGTGTCGTTCAATAAATATTAAATGAACGCTGAAATAAATAAACTTTGATGCTACATTTTGAATTAGATTTCGTCTATAATTACGTATGGAATCATTGTGGAGTCTCCAATAACGTCTAGAATTGCATTAAATATATTGAATTAAAAAATCTGTGCCAGTATAATAAAGACATTTAAATTAGCTGCTTCAAAACAGAAATAATCAATATTATATTAAATATCTTATATATAAAAATTTGCGCTGCTATACCGTTTATCTAATTGCGGTAAAACTTTGACAACATATTAATGCTTGCAATTTCGTGAAAGTTATAGGCATAAGGCACAACTTACAGGCGCGCGTATCTTATCGACAAATTTATTTAAAAGTTAGGTATGTATATAATATCATTCAATTTCAATGAATTCCTAAAACAATATAACTCTTCCAAATTTGAAACGATATTTACTAATTATTGAAAATATAATAATACGGCAGCAACGCGCCAGGTATCAGCTAGTAGATTATAAAATTAATAATTATTAAAAGATTACATTTTATTCTTTAACCACTAGTTCAAAATAAAGCTTATGTTCTGGGAATGACCATAGTGAGATTTTTTAACATGGTTAATGTTTATTGTATTACCCTGGATCTTTATTTTTTCAGTTTCCATGCAGACGTTAAGCACAGCACCCACCACATCGTTCCTAAGCACCACCATTATTAATTATTAATAATTTGATTGTTATTTACTGTAAATGTATTTTAAGACTTCATTGATTTTTTACCATAATGACGTGTTATTAATTAATTTTTGGATAGAAATATTAATATGATTGTTATTTTTTACCAGAATTTTGTTCAAATAAATATTTTCTTTAAAACTTGCATTTAATATACCTAAATATGGATCATCGATCGAGACCTCACTCTTCCCGTTTCCTCACTCCTGTTATTAGTATAAAGTGACGACCTGATGAGATTTACAGGGAGCAGATTCTTGATATTATCAGTACTTTATTTATTACAATACAGCTAGTATATGCGTTCTCATCAGTGTGATAGTCAAAATTAATATGATTTGTAGAAACGTAAATTGAGGATTGTTCTTTCTTAAGTGCAGGTCTATGAGATAACATTTTCTTTATTTTTTTACATATTGCTTTGAAATTTCAATTCTATTAATTTTATTGATGATGAATGAAAAATAGTTAAAAAAATAACTCAAATCACCACTACAAATTGAGAGACATACCACGGTCAATAACATGTCACTTGTTTCTCCACTAAACAGAAACAGAAACTTTTTTATTAATTAATTATTGAAAGTCACTCTTTTGATTAGTTACCACTGGTTCGAAAAAGACCTCTGTCCTGGAAAGAACCAGCAAGAAACCCAAGGGGTTTTTTTTTAAATAACAGCTTACAATCATGTATGTTACACAATTAACAACACAACAAATTAGAAATAGCTTGGTAGCCACGAGTATTACCTCAATCTCAGGGGATATTATCATCCATAAATTCCTTAATATTATAATAACCCTTTTTATACAAAGTTAGTTTGAAAGAAAGAAAGAACTTTGAGCAGGTCAAATTTTGTATATTTTCTGGAATCTTGTTGTAAAATCATATACATCGCCCCAAGAATGAATTACTGACTCGGTGGAGTCGAGTACCTAAACGAATTATCACCAGGAAAAATCGACTCCGCGACGGCTGAGGTAAACCTTCAGCAATGTTCTATTTTAAATTAATGAGAATGGCTTTATATATCTCTACAAATAAATAAAATTGAAGTGTCTGTTTGTAATGTCAAAATTACAGCTTTTTACTAATTGCATATGAAAGTATATACGGTACTTATAACAAAAACACAATTTTTAAAATTTTTGTCTGTCTGTCTGTCTGTCTGTTTGTTCCGGCTAATCTCCACAACGGCTAAACCGATTTTGACGGGACTTTCAGTGGCAGGTAGCTGATTTCATAAGGAGTAACTTAGGCTACTTTTATTTTAGAAAAAGAATTAGGGTTCTGCGCAAAAACATAAAAACCCTAACACGCGAGCGAAGTCGCGGGAAACAGCTAGTAACACATAAAATAGAGCTGTTCATGTCTTCACAGCATACCTTATACACCGCATTCACAGTTGTGATACCTTCGCATCCATTACAACCTATAAAAGTCCACTTTTGAACATAAATTGCGTCACCGACGAGTTGGCAACCGCAGTTTTTTTTTAAACAATTTCGAGTTGTTATCAGGAAGATGCTGCTACCTATCTACCGTTGCAGTTTCCCTCTGTCGCCTTTTATGACACCCAACGGATGATATGGGTTAGTGGTTATTCTTACATCGCCACTACACGGTTAACTTTTAAATTGTTTTTGTTGCTTACTCGCCAACATGCCACGTATAGCTGTTGATTCAAGCTGTTTCAAGAGTCTGTTACCGTGATTTCTTTATGGTTATAGCTCGTGGAATCACCAACAGATATTTAATTCTCTTTAATTGGTCCTTGAGAAGTTATCGGATATTATTATTCCCCACAGCTGTGGGGCTGCAATTATACTTCGTTGACAATTAATGACTTTTAGTCAGTTCCCATTGCATAACTTTGGTGGAGTCAGATTAGGCAAGGGCATAATTGAAGACCAGAAGCACTTAAGGAATTTAAAAAAAAGCTGGTTAATTCCTAGCATCATTCAGATCAATTACAAAGTTAATTTATGTGCAGGTTACCACATGTCCCGCAATATCCATTAACATTTTTGTATTCTTCCCAGTGCCCGGTCGTGCCTGAGTGTTAACATAGATAGCTCATGTAACCATGTAATATGCAGAAGTGGCAATGGGCCGGCCATATAGCTCGAAGCACCGACAACCGATGGGGAAGAAAGGTTCTAGACCCCACTAGATGGAGTGACGACCTGGACATGACATGTCTTACATGCAGGAAGTCGATGAATGCAGGTGGCTAAGGACCATGCTTGTGGCATTCCTTGGGGGAGGCCTATGTTCAGCAGTGGACTTGTGAAGGGCTATAATGATGATGATGATGATGATGTAACCAAAAGTTTTCTTTTTTTATGGGTGGGATCTCCATATATACGTCGTCGCTAATAACCATGAAACCAAAAGAGAGCGGTAAACTTATTCAACCCATTTGTTCAGGATCATCTCCGATATCGATAGGGTATTGAAAACTCTTGTGCTTTTTCAAGATTTTCTCTTGTGCTGATTCAAAGATTTCCTCTAATTCGTGTTTCCATATTCTCTGTCCCTGCATTCAAAAATTCAAGCAAAATTCTGTTCTGTAGATCTAATAAACATGACTATGTAAAAGTTTAATTGCGTGTATTTTTTAAATTTATGTTGATATGTGACTGTTCCTTGCAAAAATTAAAATTTAAAAAATTCCATATTATTCTATGTAAAATGAACACACGGACAAGAGTTATATGAAGGCAGAAACGTAAATTATAATAATTGGCCCCATACTTTTTAACCCCATACTTTTTTAACAATGAACGTACCCGATGGCTCGAATTTTTCACGCTGTTTGCCGTTGCTAAATTGGGAATTTTACATTTGGCTTATGCGCGATGATTAAACCGCCATCTATAAAAGAGAGCTTGAACTTACCGACACTCTTTGTTAACTCTTATCTTAACCATGAAATGAGATGTGATGACTAGCGCCTCACCATATATTGTGATATATATTACATCTTATGTTATAAAGTATGCTTTAGTTTTAAACCCTTATATCGTTTTGGACGCCTTCAGTATTAAGTGCGGCAATAGCACCTGTATTTCATTGCATTCTAACATTTAATACTTCTATGCTAATAATTTTTATCATTTATACATTACCAGCCTGGCGATAAAGTAAACCATCGTGAGAAGACCTGTCGTTATCGTTACCGTTACAGCCTATTACCGTCAAAGCCGATGGCTAGTCTTCGTTGAGGTTGGCCGCCGTGACCGAAATTCGGTCTGGAGGACATTATTAATATTATTACAGCCTATTAAAATCCACTGCTGAACATGGGCTCCCCTCATAGATAGCATCATAGGGGAGATAGTTGCCACGCTTGGCAAGTGGGTTGGCAAACGCAATTTTTTTCTTTTAGTCGTTGTAAGGAAGACGCTGCTGCATATTTCCTGATTTGTTTCCCTCTGTGGCCTTTTGCGACACTCACGGGATGACATGGGGTAGTGGATATTCTTACACCGCCACTACACGGTCAACTTTTAAATTGTTTTTGTTGCTTACTCGCCAACATGCCACGTATAGCTGTTGATTCAAGCTGTTTCAAGAGTCTGTTACCGTGATTTCTGTGTTCTGGGGCAGCGTGATGGACATTGCTACGGCGTAAAACCCTCTCAGAAATGAGAGCCGACCTGTGCCCGAGAGCGCCACGTATGTAGGCTGTAACTTTACTTTTTACCTTTATGCAAATAATTAGAGCAAATTATTTGATTTACGTGTGAGTGATACGGACAGTTTTATGGGACTGTTCGTACACGAGCAATATATAAGTGAAACCTAGTATGTTGCATTAAGATATTAGTAATAAAAGATACTACTTAAGCTTAATTTTTTAAAATATGTGGCTATAAGGTTATATAACATGACTAATGGGTCGCTGACCCTCTGTTTAAATCGGTGTTCGTCACACGACCGAAGCGAGTAGGTGTGTTCATGTATGTTCTTACATTTAATCTTGTAAGTGTATAGCTTTTCGTAACCTTTCATCTTATTTTCTTATTTTATTTAATAAATCGTCGAAAGAATTTGCAGACATAAATATTAAAAAAATATCTCTGTATAGATAGATCTTTTTACATAACATTTTATAAGTGGTAGAGCCATGCTGCAGCTATATTAGAAGTATAGTTGTAGCACGATGCACGAGCGAGTTGGCTCGACCAGAGAAAGAACACGCTCTCACAGAATACCAGCGTAAAATAGCAGCTTGACACTGTTGTGTTTCGTATGGTAAGTGTAGAGAACCGGAGAACCTTTTTACTGGAAAAGAGACATTCCCTCTTAGTCCTCACGGGTGACAACGCATCTGCATTTTGATTCGCAAACGGGGATAAATGTAGATGTCTATGAGATGCCACAGCAACCTCTTACCATCAAGTGGACTGTGTACTCGTTTGTCACCCTATCCTATAAAAAAAAAACATTGCAAGCTTAGGGTGATAAGGGGATGCACCTAGTAAGAATGATACAGCAAAAATGGAATCGCAATTAGAAAATCGTCATGTACGCAAACAAACATCGAAATGTACCGCAAACTATTAAGAAGTAATAATGTCATCTTACTCCGTCCTGCCCTGACCATAGGTGCCCAAAGTTTTAGAAACGACGGGAATAAAAAAACTATTGGTAAATCCAATTTTGCATGCCTAAAGCGCATTAAAAAAATTACGCATAACATGATAATTTTTAAAGTAGTTTTTTAAAGTCAATAAATACATAACAACAATCAATAAATACACAACAATCGCTTGCAACTTTACAAAGCGCAAGTTCGGCCCCACATGGAATACTGTTCTCATCTCTGAACCGGAGCACCCCAGTGCCAGCTCCTTTCACTTGACCGCATCCAGCGCAGAGCGGTTCGAATTGTCGACGACAGAGTTCCTTCTGATCGGCTCGATAAACTGGCACTACGTAGAGATGTTGCATCTTTTTGCGTATTTTATCGCATCT